CCCCTATCATCACCACATCATGTCATCTTCACAGTTACCATACCGTTAAGTGCTATAGTGCTCGCTAACGTCCTAGACGATGATGCGACCTTAAAAAACAAAATAACGAGAGTGAAATTTTAACTTTAGTGGTACAATTATTTAATTAATGTTGATTCTTGATTTTATGTTGAACCACTTACAAGGCAGCCCGGTGGCTCGGAGATCCTCTTCCCAAATTAGCCTACATCAATTCTACAAATGATCGACTTATGTAAAGGGGAAAAGAAGGAACTCATATTTATGTAAACAAAACATTTTATTATGTAGAGGTTCGGGATCCTTTTCGATTTTTTCAGGGGCTTTCGGCCCCCTAAACCTCCCCTGTGTGCACATTTTTGGTAGAAACCAAATATTACATATTCCGCTACTAATTTTCAAACATGAAATCATGCTACTACCATCTATCCGTCCGCCTGAGATTAAAACCGCCTGAGGTGGTTCATGGCGCCATCTTATGACATTGCATTGCCACTAACCGGGGGGTTCGAGTCCCTTCAGGAGTTTGAGTGCTAGTTAGGTTGCTAGCTCAAATTCATCCGCTGCCTAGAGGCGAATTGCAGCAGGCGGATGCTGTGATCAGTTGTTTTCCACTGTTTCTCCCATCAACAATACGCGAATGCCGGAGCAGAACCCAAACAAAAAAGTCTTGGATTGCGCGAGACCTTTTTTTCCTCTTTCCCTTCCCCGTTCATACACACATTTAAACTTACATGCACTACAGACGGGTGCTCAGAGCTTGTCCCGGGAGGGGGGGAGGAGCCTGGTGGCGGGAAGATTCTTATATAGAGAAAACCCGAACGCTGGCGTCTAGGTCGGCGCCGGATCTTACCATTCAGTGGAGAAAGATCACCGCCTCCTCCGTTATAAAATCATGTACTATTTACGGGAATAATGACTATAGCAGTTGATACGCCCGGGAACACGAAATAATCAATGAATGCGACAATTAAATGGGCAGGAGGAAATGCCCCTTTAAGGATTCCACGAGGATGATATAAAAAATTGTGGCTGAGACGCTCGCACGGGGGGAAAGTGGGCGAGTGGCTCCGAATCGGAACGCGCACCTCCTGCAACGCCGCTCGGCAGTGCCACGCCCCCGCCGCCTGCTTGGTTCTCCCGCACCCCCGATCGCCCCGAGCGCCGGCGGCGGCGGCGGCGGGCGATGGACCGGCCGGGGCGGTCGGGCGGCTTCCGGGCGTGCGTGGGAGAGCGCGCGCCGCGCCGTGGCACCCGCGGGCGACGCCACCGCCCCCCCCCCCTCGAGAGGGAGGTGGTTTCATGAATAATTAATGTAAGAATTGGAGTGATTCTAATACTACAAAGTGCAGAATAAATATTATTGAAGACAATGGGTGATATGAATAAAAATGCATAAGTACTGCAGAGCATTCGCTCACAAGTTCAATGAGGAACTACTATTTTGCAATAGTTTCCTTTCATATGAATAAAAGGTTTCGTGAAACTTTGTGCATTTACCTCTCTCTCTTCCTCACTCCCCTCTTTCACTCTATTCCTCTCTTCCCCTTTCTCTCTTCCCCTCTCTCTCCCTCTCTCTACTACCTCTCTCTCTCCCTCCCTCTTTCTCTCTGAGTAATTTGTTCACTAATTGATCTGTTTTATCTACGTTACTGCGCCACGCGTTCTTGTTCGTGATGGTGTCGACCGTATTAAGTTTAGTGGTTTACTATTCACTCTTTAATACATAATCACAGAAATTCTGCAACTCCTTAGACGATTTACACTTTTAATTTAGGTCAAACATATCAGTTTCCTCGGCGAATACTTTGCAGATTTCCGAAAGATAAATTCCCTCCCTCATTCAAGACCACCCTCCCTCATTCAACTCAAATTTCTTAAAATATCTAATAAATTTTATGTAGTCAGTGATGTCAATTTGTAATGTTAAAAACCCTGCAAGACATTCTTGTCGATCAGGGAGAAATACGTTTTGGGTTGAATGGTCCAGTTGACGTGCATTATTGGCGAAATAGTAGGAAATCTTCCATAATTTATTCACTCATTATCTAAAACCTCACAACCAGCTCACAAGTCGTGTACAACCTCTCTTCTATTCATTTAATACCATTTGAGTCACCTTAAGAGTTTGCTATGAAAATTCGGAGTAAATACTCCCCATTAGAAGCAAATTCCCGATTTTATTCATACTAAAAGTAAGCAATTGCTCCTCTGCCGAGCAGTAACTCATCAATGGAGAAATTGCTCAAAATAAGAGCAATTACTCACTTTCTTTATTCATACTGATTGAAACAATTGATTTGAAAACTCGAGACAGACGTAAGAGCTCATTTTTAATCATATCACCCGTCTTTTATTACTCAGGATAAGACCTGTGAGTAACTAAGCTAATGTCAACGATTTTTGTTGTTCTTGTTGTTTTTAATCGTTCGAATGTAGGCACAAACATTAATTGACAATTAATGTTTATTGAGGGAATTGTAAATCGAAATTATTGTGGTTAGGTTATTTGTTAGGTTTAGAGAATAAAAATATTATTCAGTTCAAATAGGTAGATTAAGTTAGAAATTAATACAAGTACATTCTTGTACATACAAGTACATACTTGTACATTCGATTTTTAATTATTTCGAAGTTTTTCGCATCGTCATGTTTTCATTTCTTCTGAAGTTGTAATAAATGATTGTTCTTTTGAAGTTTTATGACTGGTTTTCCTTTAGAGAAAGTTACTTTTAGAGGTTTCCTGGAGAACGCCATTAGCGTATGCTGTCATTACGACTGATCTTCATACGTATTTCCTTTTAACTGATAAAATATAAACCATTTACTGGAACTAGCAAATTTAGAAATTCGCCACCATCGAGACTCGAAGTTTAAGACTGATTAGGGAGCATCTCGCAGTTGACGCGACCGAATGGACTTCTGTTTGACACTTAGGAATAACTTTCATTATTTCTCAGAGAGATTTTAGTGAAGTCGAATTGATAAGTGGCGCTCCCCGGTTTCTCTCGGAAGGGTACAAGTATAGTTGCCCAGCCGACTTGATGTTTTGCTCTGAAGAATTGAACATTTATGCTGAATTTCAATTGCATTTTTATTTGATTTATAGTTAATATGAGTAACGAAAACAATTGATGTATTGAATGAGTTGCGTTCGTATAGTAAACTGGTAAAAGCTATTTTTTCGAATGGGTGGGGGGTCGTGTTCACCTCGCTTCCCCTCCCTCCAGAACGGTCCACGGGCACCATGTAATCCCGTATCCAAAACGGTCCCTGAGGCTCCTGTGCCGGGTGGAGGGGGCGGCCAGCTAAGTCCTGGAGGGCCGCAAGGTCGCTGTTAAATCGAGCGCGGCCGGGCTGTGGGAGTCGGCCGGGGCGGATGGGCGGGCCGGCCAAAGGCGGAGGCGGCGGGCGCTGGCTACTCGCTGGGCGAGCGCCGCGGGCGGGCGG